TGTTTGGAGTTAGAGCCCTTATAGCACTCTGAAGGGATGTAGCTTACCTAAGATAGAATGTCATTTCACGCCCTAACAGCCAAAACCTCTATCTTAGAATTAATTAAGGTTTTTAGTTGAGATAAAAAAGTCAATGGCACGAGCGGGATTCGAACCCACGATGTTCGGTTACATACACCTCACGTGAGGTCACGATAGCTCAAGTGGTAGAGCAGAGGCGTATCAAGCCGAACATCGTGGGTTCGAATCCCGCTCGTGCCATTGACTTTTTTATCTCAACTAAAAACCTTAATTAATTCTAAGATAGAAGTTTTGGCTGTTAGGCCGTGAAATGACCTTAGCCGTCAAAGCGCCTTTTAAAATTAATAATAATAATAATAATTGAAATAAGTAATTAAGCCACTAAACTTAAATGGATTTATAATCACAAATTGTAAACTTACAAGTTGAAAAAAAAAGGAAGTTAACAAGCTTTTTAATGTGGGAAAAGAACCCAATAATATTGTGAACCATGTTGTCTCTGATTGGAGGGTGATGAAGTGTTGGTACAGGAGAGATTTAAAAGAGGTAACGGAGCGGCTTTGCGGATTGGCAGAAGAAGAAGAATTCCAGAGATTTGTGATTCGAGCTAGGAAGTACTTGTCAAATGTGGGGCTTTTATGACAAGGAAGATATAAGACGAAACGATCGGGTGTTAGAGAGTGGATAGAGGATTTGAACTGAATTAGCTTGAAATGTAGAGAGTTCATGAGACGAGAGATAGTGGATTTTTAAAGGAAGGAGCACTGAATACTTTCTACGAAAGGAGGGATTAAGTCAGGAAAGATCTGAATACAGGTATGAGTCTCCAAAAATGCGGGGGCAGAAATAAATCTGACACAGCATACATTAGATGTTTTCATTCATTCGTAAGTTCAGACGTACTTCTTGTTCCTCTGAAAGTCCACCATAAGCTGTAGTAGCCAGACCGATGCAAAAATGAATGAAATGATACAGAAATAATTCGGTCGCAAACGAATTAAATCCTAACAATTTGCCACTTTTTTGGATCGGTACAAGTTATACGTTACAAGTATTAAGATAGTGGTGATGGTGATGAGGATTCTAGGAAGCAGGGTTTGTGCTCCCGGGCACTGCACCTTTCTGGTTTATTGTCCCTTCCTATTTCCCTAGTTCAGTGCAGTCCACACTCATTTCTTCTCCGAAGTACATATTAGGACTGTGGTATTAGGATTGACTGTTGCTACTACAACTTCATTCCCTAGGTTTATTTTATAAACTCGCTTTTGTCTCCATTGAGCCATTGCTTCGCTTTCGAATAGAGATGTTTAGTGCATGGACGACCTAGTTCAAATGAACTTTTGTCGAAAAGAAAAAACTGTACTAACCGGTCTTCTTTTTAGGGAACTGTCATTTTTCTCAGCCTCTCGCTACTAGGATAGCTTTATATCCAAAACCATTCTCCACCGACCGGGGACCTGGCATGGGTACAGTACAGTTCATTCTCTTCGCAATTAAATTTTATGTTTTAGTTAATTTGTTGTACTTTGTACGTTTGTTAAGTACAGTTCGTTTCCTTTTCGGACTTGGAGAAATAGTTCTTCATCGAAAAACCGCGGACCTAAATAACCAGTCGGACCTCTACAGTTCAGTACTTCAGTTCATTGTTGATAGTACTCACTAGTTCACTTAGTTAGCACTTAACTATTTCAGTTAAAAGAACTGTCCCAAAAGGAACGACTTTGCCCGTTTCTACAGCCTTCGATAATATGGGCGGCTGTTCCTTTCTTTTCATTACATAATCTGCAAATAGGTTCATCGTTATATATACCCATGTTACATGTTTTCTCAGATGCCACTGCCCGGTTAATAGTCCTATCACCCTCTGAGTCTGGCCATCTATAAGTATTTCGATTGAATCCAGGATGAAATTCTGACTTTAAATGAGTCTGTGGAAGAAAAAGTATTGACACAAGTGCCAGAGCCACTTCGTTTGATGAAATGTTTTCTTCGTCAAAGCTGTCGCAGCTCAATATCCTCCGAAGGCGAAAGCTGATCCAGAAATTCAAACTTCTTCTATGTTTAATAAACCGAAACTTCCTAAAATTAATATTTTCCGGAGATTTTCAAGAGTGGCCGAACTTTTTTTCGTTGTTTACATTCCTGTTGCACGAAAATAAAACCTTGTCGGATTCGGAACAGCTTCACTATTTATATTCCTTTCTCCGCGAGTAATCTCTGTTGATGTGGAATCGCCGACCCGTGAGTTACCATATTTCCGTTGATTCTTTAAACCCTTTTTTTCATAGCTTATAATTCTGCCCTTTATTTTTTACTTTAATATTTACATAATCCGCTACATACAACGTCAATAAATAGTCAAAGGTGAAAAAATACTATAAATAATCCATTATGTTTAGTGGTCTTTTGACCAAATTACTCATTTCAATTAATTATTCTTTTTATGCAAGGTCTTGGTTGAGATGAAAAATTTAGTATAACGATAGCTCAAGTGGTAAGAGCAGCGGCGCATTGAGCCGAAGGTCAGGAGTTCGAATCCCGAACGTGATACTAACTTTTTCATTTCAACCAAAAACCATACATAAAAATATTAATTAATTGAAAAAAGTAAGTTGGTCAATAGACCAAACATAATGAATTGTTTATAGTATTACTATTATTTTTATCTTTACCTTATAATGTAAGGTCTTGGATGATATGAAAAAGTTAGTATCACAATAGCTCAAGAGCAGCGGCGCATTGAGCCAAAGGTCGTGGGTTCGAATCCCTCTCGTGACACTAAGATTTTCATCTCAACCAAGACCTTGCATAAAATTAATAACTATAAATAATGTTAGAAGTATAGTTTGAAATCCTATTAAATAAAATAGGCCTATTTTACATGCATATGAATATGAATACAATTCCACCTATTAAGTATTTAGAATATAATAATTTATTTTGTTGTTAGATGTATGAAACCCGGAAGAAAAATAATATAATTTTTTTTCTTTGAAAAAGTATACTACATAAAAAACAGAGTTAATTACCCACATTTGCTTTCACCGCAGCCACTAGGAAATGACTCTTTCCCTATCATTTTTCGTTGCAATATATTTCAAGTTCTATTTAAGATCAGTCCAACTTGTCTGTTTTTACTGTGCCAATACTCAGAAAAATCAAATTTCTCCAGCTTTCATAAATTTCCGGGTAAGAATTATTGTTGTCTTCCCAATATTTGAAGGGTTCAGTTCTTATTGGAGAAATGGAATCATGAAGGTATAGGAACAATTCATTTCCCGTGCTCACTCCGTTTCTATTACTATAGCGATTTTACAAACCATGATTGTCCTCCACTCTGGAAACAGAATCACTATCGATGCTGACAGAGCTAATGCAAAAAATAGCCGAATGGCAATGTTTCTTCGTCTGTTTTATTTATAATTTTTGAAACATTACCAACAAATTGAGTAAACATTTTCTTTCAAAAGATTGCACGATTGAAGTAAAATATTGATAGATTTTCTTTGTCATTAGTTAGAATATTTTTACGTGAAGGTTTTTTGAATTTTAAACGAATTGAGTAACACGATGAATAGACCGGAATCAGGAATATATCGGCATTCTCTCGGGTCGTGTTGAAATAGCACGGGTGAACAGTTTTCACGTCGGTGTATCCTTGTATCTCCCCGTTCACCTATTTGGAGCTGTCACAGAAAAGAAATTCGAGATTAGGTTAAACCAATAAAATCCGCTCTTCGGGAAACTCGAATAAGTTACAGTGTCCGTTAATGGAACTCGTTCGGAAAATGTGTTGAAACTGAGTCCGGGTATTTCGACTTTATTAGATAGTGACAGTCGCTGAGCACGTTTCTGGAAGCTATGGCCTCGAGGGGTTCGCCGGGTAATGAGCAACTAGACTGCAATCAACAGGACTTACCTCTCCACTACCTCTGTACAACCAAGTTCAAAACAGTTTCCACAAATTTACACGAGTGTCCCTACATTACTACATTGTCACATATCTCACAGGTAGTTTTGCTTTAATTTTTGTCATGAATAGCATTACAAAAACATTATTCATCTATAACACAACAAATTGAAATGTTTAGTAGTAAATATCCGATGAAACCAAGACAAAAAGAGTTTCAATTATTTAGTGATTATGTGGAATCTCTTTATATATTGAAAAATCCAAAATGTATGTGTAACACTCAACTAGACCATTATATATATATATATATATATATATATATATATATAAAATATATATATACATATAAGAAAGAAAGAGAAATTGAGAGAGAGCGGAGAGGGAGAGGTTAAGAGAGGAGAGATAGAGAGAGAGAGAGGAGAGATAGAAAGAGAGAGGGAGAAAGAGAGAAAGTAACAGTCATACACACAAACATAGTAAATACAGTAATGGAAAACTATACACAAGCCTGAATGGACACCTAAAACTGAAAAAGGGGTGACAGGCCGACATCATATTAGATATGTCAATTGATATCACCACTCCCACATTCAGTATGGACAACAAATACAAAATAAACGTCAAAAAAAGGAAATACAGGAATAAAAGAACCCTTAAAGCCAATTCTTTCTGGTACACTGATTGCTCAAGTACTGAGGAGGGCATGACTAGTTCCTACCAATGAATCCAGTACTGAACTGACTATAAACTGGGAAAGATCTGGTTTTTCCAGTCGAAAAATATAGGAATTAAACACTGAGTCAGAAAAATAAAAAAGGCTTGGAACGCATTCTAGGAAGTTAGCCGTGCTGTCTGACAGTCAGCCAGCACTCAAAGCTGTAACCTTTTGTGAAGTAAAGTCAGACTGTGTCTACAAGCATAAAATCAGCGATGTTTTGTAGACGCCGGCGGGAGTAAGTATTGGATATCTACCCTCCAAGTCCAGCGATACAAGGATAATTGCTGGCTGTTGCGTAAAGGATTTAATGGATAAAAGTTTTAATAATTCGTTTAATAATTAAATTTATTAATTCACAATTTACGATATAAATACGGAAACCCAGGGAGCGACTGGCTGGAGACAGCTGATGTATGTTCGTGCGTACAGGTTGAATCCCAGGGAGCGACTCGCTGAAGACAGCTGTTGTACGTCCGTACTACAGGTCGAAAGCCAGGCAGTGACTCACTGTTTTTATGACGTCTTGCTGAAAATGGGCATCCTGGGCATAGGTGTAATGCAGGCTGACTTATGGGCATTAGTGTAGCCAGTATGAATACTTCTGGCGGCGAACCGACTGTGGTCCAACTGAAAAAAAAAAAAAAAAAATGAATCTTTATGAGTCCTAATCTTGATTGGCCAAAGCACAAGGAAAGGGATTAATAAAGAGGGCACGCGCAAATTATACAATAGAATTATGAGAAGGTAATCGAAATAAAACACGGATTCTGCAAAGTCTCCAGACAGGACCTTGTCACCTAAAGAAGCAATGTACCGGTAGGAGTACTGACATATTTTGCAAAGAGACCCCGGAACACTTTCTGGGGGGGGGGGGGTCTATCCTGATCCACAATTTCCACTACTATTGGGTTGTCCGGAAAATAATGCAGGATTTTAAGTTTTCATTAAAAAAAATCTATATAAAATATTCTGTTTACGTTTGTATGAATGTCAACATTTATTAATCCTCTTCCAAATGATATTGTTTGTTTACCTCTGTAGCATTCCGCTACTTGGAAATAATTCAGTCATCCTTATAATGTCAAAGCGAGAATTTGGTACNTTTGATTAAAGAACATTGCTTTAAAGTAACTAGTTTCTTTTTTTTTGTTTAATACCAAAATCCTGCATTATTTTCCGGACAACCCAATACAAATTAGCCTGATCGTCATCAGTATCCTAAAACTGTCTAGAGAACCCTAACTAAATTAGGGGGTCACAATTGATCTAATTAGGTCAAAACTCTAGTGCTCTAGTGCCATCTTTTCTATCTATAAATAAAATAAACATCGAGGAATCAATTTCAAACAAAATAAATATATTAATAGTTTCAGAATACACGTTTTTGATAAATAGTTTATTTATACACCGTACATAATGTTTTTTGTTCACAGTCATTAAACTAACAATATGGCCCCTACTCCACTCGAGGTACACTGGCTAACAGAAACCAACCAACGCTGGCACTCAATATAAAGAATTAAAGAGCGAAAAGATCTCGAGGTCAACGTCGCTAAAATTGGAAGGTTGTGGGGATAAGAAAGCGAAAAGAGAGCTCGAATATTAGAGGTAGAGTGGGTCATGAGGTCGATGTGGAAAGCTTGTAAGCAAAAATTGAACAGTTTGTTGACAAAAGGAATGTTTATGTCGTTGTCGCTAGTGTGCATGTTGAGGTTGTTGTGCATAGAGGTTAGTGACATTATGTGTAAGGAGTTTTGATGGAAAAGATTGGACGCGCTGGATAGTAAATGGCTTGGCAAAACCATTGATTTCCCCCACTGCATGTCTAACGTGTTCTCAGTAAGGTGTTGTGTTAGGAGGATGTTTCAGTTCTATTATGTTTAAGCCTGTTGTGTTTTGTATGGGGAATCCATTTTTCCTGTGTCGTCCTAACTATATAGTACTAGTGAAAGTCGGTAGATCCTATTTGTTGATCTACAGTGGAGAGGAAGGCTTCGAAGTTTTCCAAGTGTTTTCTTAAGTTATCTCTTACGTCTTGTGTAAAGATTCTATATCAGACTGCAGCCTAGATATCGTTCCATGCATCTAGCTTGATAGGTAGTCCGAAGTACCATTTTGGTGAAGTACAATACAGAGTAAGACTATTTTTTCAATGTTTCATTCAGTCTTGTCCTCCACTTTTTGCACCCGCCTTTGACAAACTCAACGTGTTCTTCGATGTTGGAGGTTGTTTTAGTAGGAGTCAGAAGACAAATTTGTCACCCGCAGGTCACCAGTATAAATGGTACGCAGGACTAAGTATGCTCCCTTGTGGGACGCTGGCTTGTAATGTCTGACATCTAACTTTTCGTTGTCTACCTTACACAAGTGGTGCTTACGAACTGTTAAGTTTACAAAAAATGTATCGTTTCCAGATCCTAGTAAAAGCAGCAAAACATCTATCACCTTCGTACCAACTTCAATCGATTTTATCAACATAATTTTGCGGTTGTTCCAATTGTTTGTATAATACAATTTTGGATTTATCAGATGTACAAACAAAAATTCATTTTATTCGATCATATTTAAATTGTCAACTTCGCCTATATTTATCTACTGATCGATATTGATTCATATTATGAAAATGAAAACAGTACACATAAAAACAATATGCTCGGCTTATTTAACAGATGAATCAATTACACTTTTCCATTTACCGAGCAATCCATCACGAAAAATTTCAAATTAATTGTTGAAACTGTTGATATTTTAGAACAGGCCTTTATTGATTAGGTCGTCGAAGGAAGAGACTTGATATATAGAAACTGGAAACGATATTGAGCTAGGAAAAGCAATGGTTGCTCATCCGACACTAATAATTTCATAATTATATCATTTCAGCCCTCTTTCAAATTAATTCGCCTAAGTACGTTTAATTTACAATTATCACTTGGAATGAAACGCAAGTAATCAATAACGATCATTTTAAACACTGTTTAAATTAAATAGAATATTATTTGCCAAGTATTCCACATCTGTTTGCAGATTCATTTCTTTAAGTGTAAATATAGATATAGAACAACCGCGTAACCACGACCGATATAGATTGATTATTAATGAAGTACAATTGTGACTTTCTAGACCATCGTGGTTATAATTAGCTGTTAACTTTATTGTTAAGCTACATCAATACCCCATTATGAAATGTAATTAGTTAACTACACCTTACCTGGATGATACAGAGTAATAATATGATAAGGTGTTCTTGTAGAGTTTTTTATTCTTTTTTTAAAGTTAGGAGGTTGATTAAATTAGAAAAATCCTTACCTACACCTGGGACCTAAATGGATCTCTTGTTGAATCCCTATAATTACAGCCAACCTTGGAAAATGCACTTTTTCATATAAGACTAAGCACAGTGTATAATGCCTCTGCGCACCTCTTATGGTGTGAGCCTTACCGAGCTGTACCGTAACTGTGCTAATGCTTCAAATTCACACAAAATAAGCGCTGATGACGCTAATGCCTCCTAACAGAATCGGTATGTTTCATTCTCTGTTCTTCCCGTCTTTAGTTAATAGTTAAAACGGCAGTGGCCGGTATAGAGTTTTTCTTTCTCAAGCCATTTTTTCAGTTGTTACTTAGCACACACTCCGGTGCACCTAGTTGTGGATCTGGTTATGTGAGCGGGCTGCCCCACGCTAGTGGCGTGTTTATTTCCTTCTATGCCTTCATGTACGGGAACCCATCTTGCTTTGTTTGTCCAGAGTTATTGGCAGTTTAGGCCCTCCCAGACAAGTTTGGAGTAGAAAGCATATATTTAGTGCCTTTGTGGTCTAGAGTAGTAAATTTGTAGAACTTTCTAATTTGTCATTATTAACTGTTGTGCCCAGAGTTGTATAGCATCGACTTCAGCTTGGAACGATGTTGGGGTTATTACAAGGGGCTTTACTAAAGCATATTTCATCTCTTTAACCCTACACCTACTTCCTGTGCCTGCTTTGTGTGTACCATATTAGGGCCCCTTCGTGAAACTTGGGGCCAACTTTCTTTCAAATGTCTCTATATTCTACGTCAACCTGGCAGGGTCTGACAAAGTTGAGTTTTCTTTCATTTTGTCAGGAACTGTTAATAACTACCTCATTTATTTTGATTATTTCAAGAATTTTGGCTCTTCCTTAAAACTAGCTGTATTTCCTTGTATCTCAGTTGACAATCTGGAAAGACACCTTTTGTACATAAAAATGTCAGGGTGGAAATTCTAGTGATGTTTCCATTGCTGTATGCATTGCCCTTGTTAAATTGAGACACGACAGTCTTTGTAGACTTTGTAGTTTGGTCTATGTCTCCTTGTTGTGTTTTAGGGGTGTTATTCATTAGTTTAATTATCCTTTATTCCTTGTTATTTTAAACCTACTCCTTTTTATTTTTAGTCAAATTTTGCTAGCTAGCCTCATGTGATGATTGGTGAATTCCAGACAGTTCTGAAATGGGCGTTATTCTTTCTCGTTCTGGACATTTCTTACAACGTAAATTCGAACTACCTAACTATGTAACCGAGTAGAAAACTCGGGATTTGTAATTCTAAAACAATAGTCAGTAAAGTAATTCCTTTTATACAGGGGGGGGGGTTAACGTCCAGCTATCTTTTGGGTCTCACGGACGCGAGGTCAAATCAATTTACAATATATTTTGCATACTATTATTAATTAAAAAGCCATGGGGGTCACCCGGAATTCGAATCCAGAGCAACTAGCGTTGCAAGTACGCGTTCGACGCCCTAACTACTCTATCACCGCCGTCCCTTTATAAATGGATCATCTAAAAAATTCATACTATGTATATGTACAGGGTGTATCAACTTCTATAGTACACCCATTTTATTCGAAAACGATTACATTAGCAAAAATTGTTTTATACAAAGCACAACTTAATTTTCGTTAAGAATCAAGTAGTGGTTAACTTCTCATTATAACGTTGTGGGAGCGTATTTATAACGTTGGGGAATTAATATGCTTGTAAAAAAAAAAAAATAAGTTAGTAGGTTATTGAAGGTTTGAAAGGTTACTTATTACAAAAAAAACTAAGGAGGAAAGACATTATTTTCTTATCACTAAAATTTAGTTTATATAATTAAGTATAAAGTTATTTTGCGGTATCCTTTTCGCTGGACAAGATGTAAAGTATAGAGTAACGAACCTTGTTGAATGAGCACCACCCGACAAGAATTCTTCAAAAGCAGTTTTTTTGTCTTTGATCACGTCACACGCGTTTATTTTTTACGTTCTCTCTTACTTTTATTAGACTGACCGTAACTCCAAATCCAGCGTGGCTCCGCCTTAAGCCTCCGCTGTCCTGCTCTTCTGCCTCCTCAATCGTTGGAACTCCCTGCCTTATTGATTGTTCATGCCGCTTTGGCGGCCTTTATGAAATGGCTTGACATATCATCTAAGTAAGGAATAAACTAACCTAACTTTGTTATTTTAAATTAGAATCCCATACTTTTATTGTATAGTTCAATTCTAGATCTCATTTTATGCCTCTTGTACCAAAAGGAAAATTTCGATAGGATCGACAATTTTTGAGTTATGCCCGACGGAAGACACGCGAGGGGGTATCTCTTTGTAACATCAAGATGGCCCTCCTCGTTTATTTAAAAAACGATTAGCATTTGCAGATTAATTTAGGATAAGAATCGTCTCAGAATAGGATAAGGATCATGGGGTTGGAAACAATAAAAAAAACATTTTTTCTATCATCATCGCGTCCATTTTATTTTTAAAATGCCTCTCATCTGTTCTTATGCATTGTTGTAGATTGTACCATTTATTAAAATGTATGTTTATAATAAATGCTCAAATACCCTCGTTGTGCAAAAAGGCAAAATATAAAAACCCTGCATTTTAAATCTTAATCGGGGAGAGCCATCTAATTATCAATAGATAATTAGACATGCATGTACAATCACTTAAACATTGCTTCTATACATATAGGTCGGTATAAAAAAGAAAAATAATTTGTTAGCGCGATTAACGTTTCATGTTTAAAACAAATAAAGGAACGTTTTATTAATTAAAATATCGTTATTTCCATACATCAAAGGGTTATTTTTTAAAATTGGATATTTCTTCTACCGTCCTGGGTCAAATTAAAATTAATTAAATTCACTAATTTCGTGGTCCGTTTGAACAATTTATACATTAAAATTAATTAAGGTTTTTAGTTGAGATAAAAAAGTCAAAAGGAGGGAAAATTCAAAAGGTGCGGTTGAGTTGGGAAGTTGGTGTCCGAGTGGATCGAGGTCACGATAGCTCAAATGGTAGAGCAGCGGCGTATCAAGCCGAAGATCGTGGGTTCGAATCCCGCTCGTGCCATTGACTTTTTTATCTCAACTAAAAACCTTAATTAATTGTAATTAAAATTAATATTGTATTTTACTAGGAATAAACGTTAATTAATTTACTCTAAAGTTTAAGAATAAACTTTGTGTTAGAAAAAAATATTATATATTATATATGGGCTAATAAATTGATAAAATTTGTCAACTTTCGTTGAAGGTTTTCCTTTTGAATATAAAATTGTTTTCATATCATATTTTTGTTAAATTAATTAAATAAATAATTATTTTATTTAATTTAATAATTAAATTGATTAATTTAAATATTTAATTAAATATTTTTTAATAATTTAAATTAAATAATTTTTAATAATTTAATTAAATTATTTTTAATTTAATTAATGAATTAAATAATTGTTTTCATATCTCGTAAGTTTGTTTAAGTTTGCTTTGGTCTGATTGTTGTAAATGCTAAATTTTGTATATCTTAATTGCACCTTCAAATAGGTTTATAGTTGTGTAGTTCATCGTGTTGTTGTTTCTATAGTTCTACCAATCATTCTTTAATCCTTTCAGATCTAAAACTGGCTTAGATAATGACGTAGATAACTTTAGATCATGAGTTATTCATTGCTTTTTCTTCTAGGTATTCTCGTTATTTTCCTTTGTTTAGCATTGCAGAATATGAAGTCGATTAAGCCAACTTCTTTCCGAACTTTAACCATTATTGCATTCGCTAACGACCCGACACGAACCAAGAATAAGGTGTATTCATTTTGCAAATCGAAGGTAATTTTCATCTTTTCTATTACTTAACCGATTAATATCTCACGGTACAATGTCGAACGCTTTCTTTCCAATAAAACACGAAATTTGAACATTACCGTTCGAAAAAACCCTTCAGCATGCACTTCTCGAACGGGAAAGTTAGCAGAAAGAACAAGAACCCTCGCATCAGGACAGGCGGTCGGAACTTTGGAATGAGATTTATTCAATATGAAAAGTTTTTTATTGGATATTAAAAGATCTGCTGGGGGGAGGATAGGTCTGGCCAATAACAAGCTTTACAACTAAAGCGTTACACTTGATCACTTTGATTCACGCCTAATTCTATAAGCAGTTGGTTTTAAGATAACATCTTTTGACAAATTACTATTTTTTTATAACTTTTTGTCAAAGTTTTTATATCAGATAATTCCAGTTATGCCAGGAATGCTATTAAACAATAAATATATAAACTTTGAGGCAAGTTTTTTTTTACTATCTTACTTAATGATTCTATATGTTTATAACTAATTTGTTATAAACG